GTTATTATATACTGTGTAGTATATATATTTATTTATATATATATATATATATATATATATATATATATTGATTTATTTATTTAAAGTACTGATATGTTTAACTGTTTTTTACTGTTTGAACTTTTAGGTTTACCAAGCTGACTGTCAAGCTTTTCTCTGGAAGGACAAATATCATGGACGAGCCTTGGATGAAGATGGATTTCAAAACACATTATATCAGTTTTTCCACAATGGTTTCACTTTGCGTGTTGGGGTTATCGATACAGTAATTGAGAAGTTGCAGGAATTGCGGAGAGCTGTGGAAAAACAACATTCATTTAGGTTTTATTCCAGCTCTTTACTTATCATCTATGAAGGATGTGGAGAAGATGATGATGAAACAGAAGACTTGTTAAAGGATAGTTTAGAAAAATCTCCTGTAAAGAACAATTCTAGCCCACCTGAGTCATTCAGTTTAAACAGAAATTGCTCTGAAATGTATTCCCTAGAAGGTCCTGTGACAAAACAGAAAGAATCTGACAGCTGTTACTGCTCTGTAGATGTTAGAATGATTGATTTTGCACACACCACCCACGAAGGTTATGAAGGAGATACAGCTGTTCATAGAGGTCCTGACAAAGGATACTTGTTTGGGTTGGACAATCTGCTTCGTTTTCTACTTGATGTTCAAGGGATGTGGCAAGAAAATCACTTAAAGTGAAGAAAGAGTTATCAATAGTTCTGTTGAGTACATGTGTAGAATGGTAGTGATGTAGTGAATGTAAGCTATTAAACTAGTGAAAACTAGATCCATGAAGTGTAAGAAAATGAAACAATAATTTTGAAGGAAACATAAAGGTTTAATTATGGATCTTAAAATTTGTTATATGTTGCTGATTTGTTTCTTTAAAAACGTAAAGTGATATTTATGTAGATGATGTAATTTTGTAATTAAGAAACTACCATTTGCAGGATAAGTGTTACTTTTTATTCCATTGATTGGTTTGATTTGTAGATTTATTTGAATATTTATTTATTTACACTATTGTTTTGTCCTTTGTGAAAGACTTAAAAAAAGACACTATATTTTAATTATTAAATTTTTCTGTTTATTTTCAAAATGTGTTCAGAAGTAATCTTTTAACCTGTGAACACAAATCTCCTTGTGTTAAACTTAATGTTTTGAAATATAAAAAAAATTGAGTGTTAAGTATTTTGTTTGTATTTATTGTTTTCTGTGTACAGTATACTGTATATGGTATTTTTTAATAAATGTGTATGTCTAGTACAACTGTGATAAACCTGAAAGGTATTTCTTTTAAATTGTCTAGACACTTGATGTAATGCTATCATATATGTTGTAAATGTTAGTATGTATTTCTTATACTGTGGTAATCTTCATGAATCGTGAATGTTGGTAATGGTTATGTTTTGTACACAAGCTTTTATTTGACTGATTTTTCTGTGTTTTTTTTTAATGATGCAAAATATATTAGTTTTGTTTACCTGTGTTATGTTTATATTGTAGATAATACACTGTACTTACTGCTGATCATACCAGCTATTTATTTACATGTACAGTGCATGAAGAATGAAATTTCAATATAACTTGTCAAAAAAGCCTGATTATGAATATAGTTCATTATAATATAGGTATAAGGTTGCAAGTATACATAAATATACATGCAGTGGATCACTCTGCATTTATCTGTGTGTGTACTGAATGTATGTTAACATCGGAAACCAGCATAGTCTAATTAAGATTATCATAACTGAATTACACTTTCATGGAAAAGCAATAATAATCAAATACTACTGTATGGGTGTATATCCTAATTACTGTGGTATGTCTTTCTTTATTTATGACTTCATAAGGGATTATTATATAAAGGTTGAAACTGGTTCCTTGTAACTTGTTACAAACTGTTTTATTTATTTTTTTAGTATAATTTAAAATGACCAACTAAATAGTATTTGTATAAAAATAAGAAAGAAAAATTCAGTTCCACATTTTGGTTTATTTCACAACAGATTTATAAACATTAACACAAATGTAATGTTAAGTATGTTCTGACCAAATTATAAGTATTTGAATATGTATTTTAACCAGAGAAAAATGTATGTGTGTGTGGGGGGGTTGCATATGCAGGTGGTGAAACCTGATGTGGTGGTGGTGAGTATGTGGCTGATTTAGTAAAGGCAATGGTCAATGACTTCAAAAAGATGCATGAAACTTTAAGAGATCCTTTCAGGACACTTCACATGTGTCAAATTAATAATATTTTCTCAGCTTTGTGCCAGCCTTGGGAACATACATTCTGTATCCCATCTCACTCCTCTCAGCTTCTCTGATTCACCATTCCTGAATAAATTTTTAACCAGGCTGATGTTTTTTTGTATTTTTTTCTCTATATCGTTTCTTCTCATTGGATAGGGTTAGATTGCACTCTTTATTTATTTTACCTCCATAAGGATACTTTTTCAATATTGGTAGAGCACTCAACTTTGATTTTCAACCTGACATATCTGCATAGCTGGTTGATCTGGTCAGTGTACAAGACTACTCTCCATAGTAAGCCATTGTCCACTTTAAGCTCAAGACGAACTTTTTGATATGAGAATATCTTGTGTGGACAGATATTTTGATGCAAAAGTATATATATATACAACTAAACACATTATACTGAACACAGTTACCTTTTGCCACTGTAGGTGTACTGGAGATATATGTAATATTCTTAATAAACATGCGAGCTTCTCTTTCTCTCTGTAATATACATACCAAAAAAATGTTTTTTTAACATATTTCACATATTAGATGTTGTCACATCTGGATTTGAGTCTGATAAAGTTGAGGTCATGATGACAATGGAAATTGTTTTTCTAACAACAATATATCAGTGATGCTAAGAAAGTAACATGGGACAATCTCACTTTTGATTTTAGCTTCATGTAATTTTTGCATCCTCAGCTATAGATTAATGTTTAACTGACCATTGTGGCTACAGTTTAAAATACTGAAATTGAGAATTTTAGTTACAAGAATAAGTACAGGATGTGTTATTTAACATTCATTATGTTGCAAGTATCCATGTTCTGTTCATGTTATTTTTTACGTTTATATTTGCCAAAGTGGTTAAAAGTCTGAATATCAAAACTTTTACTATAATTATATTTTGTTTATTTATATTATCCTGAAAAGAAAATTTGGTGTATCAGATTTAATAATTTAATTTAGAGGGTTCTAGTCCCACAACACTATTATAGATTCTTCCATACTTAATTATTTCTTACATCCGGTGCTATACGACTGTATACTTGTAGACCTCATATCTATGCATTTACATCTCTACCATTATATCAAATGAACTTAATTTATGTCAAAAGGCTATATTTTCAGCTACAATACATACTTAGTGGAAAAAAATGAAAATATTTTATACAGTTTTAGTGTATTATAGTACAGTTTCATCATGCTGGTGGTGAGTTTAATTCCTTCAATATGAAGTATTGGTCTTTAATATTTTTGTGATTAAAAATCCTTTTCTTGAAGAAACTTATTGATATAAATGTAGCAGTTGCTACTATTGTATAAAGAGTTTTATATAGTATGGTGTATGTTGTGAGTTTTGATGTAGCCAGTAACCTGGTATTTTTTATTCTAGTTTAAAAAAGAAAAAGAAACATGAGCCAATGGTAATGGTTATATTCAACTGTATCATGTCATCATGATCAGAGAAATGAAGTCAGTGCAAACACTTCTTGATTGTGGTAGAGGTTCTCTGAGCTTTCAAGTATGATGAACGATGTTTTTACATATGTGAGAAAGCACTGACAAGAAAGTAATCATGATCAAGTATTCTTTTTTAGAGGTACACACTTTGAGTGTTCTGTGTGAACATGTTTCACTGATAGAGATGAAATGTTGTACCTAAATAAATCTATATTTCTCATATAGCTGGTTTAAAAGCATTATATATATGATCTAACATGTCATTCTTTACAAAGCTTTTGTCTTATAGCGTATGGTCTCTAATTATGAGAACTTTTTTGTGGCTTTACTGATTTATATGTATTTAAGTAGCTAAAAATAACTGTTTGTTGTTGAAAACCAGATTGTGTATTTCAATGATGGTCATCAATTGTCTGTTTTTTGTCTCTAAGGTTAATGTGCCATTTCAACAAACTTATTAAGTATTTAGGAAATGTGAACACTTAAGCTTTTACGATCTTAAAATTAAAAGATGTAATTTGTGTATCAAGCAGGTTTATCCAAAAATCCTTCAATACTGTAACTATTTAGAGAACTGCACTAATCATCATTGGTTTTCAGTGATAGGATTTTTTTTCTTTGTATACTTGTAAAATTGGTTTGAACTTTTTGGCTACCATTATGTTTAGTTTTTAGTTTAGTAAACAGTTTTATGTATTTCCTTCATAATTGTGGTGTGAAGGTGGTGCAGAAAATTCAGTAATACTAAATACAGTTTCAAATATAGATTGAAACACTTGCAGCAAGAGCATGTGGTAAGTGGTGTAATATATGTACAGCAAAACAGGAAACAAGTCACACTTATTTGTTGGCAAAAGAAAATAAAGTACATATACATACTTATGTAGTACTTCTATGGAAATTTCAATCTAATAAAAAGTGATATTATTGTTGGACTGTTAAGTAATATTCTACGAATATTTCACAAAGGTTTTGTTAAAAAAAAAGAATTGCACTTTGGAATGGAGCTTTGGTTTATGATATAAATAAATTAAACATTCTTTTGTCTGGCTTGGTACCAACACTTGCAAGATCCAACCACTATGCCACAGTTATGTATAAGTTGTAAAATTGTTGAATGGTGTTTTAAGCATCTACATGTAGATGCACTGATTTACTTCCTAAATTTTGTTTAAAAGTGGAATATATAAATTTGCCTCAGTAACCAGATAATTGAGTTCGATATTATATTTGATACTTCTGTATTAAGATAATTCTGTGTATCATACTTGATACAACTAAGCTTTTAAACAGTTTAGCGATTAAAATGTTCATATAAGTTCATTTGTTTTTTAGTATATAGTAGAAGTACAGCCAGAATATTTGTGTAGGGTTGTATGTTAGTAGTCATTGTCCATATTTCGAAACATTTAAATAATGTAGAAGTATCCATACATATAATATTTTTATATTTGTTTATTAACTTCTTTTTTATATTTATTATTTTGTTTAAAATTTAATTTTAAATATGTAAATGTAGTTTAATGATTTTTTTTTCCATTTCCTATCAGAGCTTTTGGATATACTGGTGACTTTTTGTATATGCTATAAAAAGCATAGTGGATGATAGTCCATTGTGATTTACTTAGGCATTTTAATATTTATTATTTTATTGTTATAGTAAGGGTCATATGTATTTTAACTTTTGTGTGATAAAACTGCACTTAATCTCATTCTGGTCAAACTTATTTTGTCATTTATTATGTTTTTTATGATAATTATCAATTGTATACTGTTAATAAATTTAGCAGATGTAACTCTTTGGTGTCCAATTAAAAGATTACTGAATACCAGAACGAAGAGAGTGTGTGGGTTAGTTAGATAGTAGTTGTCTTGTGTCTGTTGTGATTAGTGCACCAGTACATGTGCACCAATGAAAAAATGTCTTTTGTACCTATATATACACCTGGAAAAAAGTTAAGCACCCCCAAATATTTTTCAGGATTGCTTATTGAAAATAAGGTCTAATTTTCATGATGTTGAGCAATGTTCATAATTTCAAACATAATTAAAAGGATGTGAGCGTTCAGGTGTGACATTTAAACCAGGCGCGTTTTTTTCCCCACGTGCAACTTGCTCCCTTCTTC